ACCGGTATGGTGGTTCATTGTCTGAGTGGCAACAGATTGGGAAAGGAAAGAGGTGTCATTCATACATCAGAAATTGAGCATTGCAGTAGCAGCCGGCAATAAAAACAGCAAGTGGTATTTTGGCATTCCTTGGGACAGAATTGTTGTGCAGGAGCAGAGATCTCTTGCTGCAATTGTACAATGTTACACAGTTTGATGTCCTTGTCTGAAAAAGGATGAGTATGGAAGGAGCTCAAAAAAAGGTTACAGCGTGATCCCTGAGATGGCAGAACTGATGAATGAAGAACACAATTCAAAATGTATTCGCTGGACGTTATACAAATGAGTGAGGGATCCCATAGAAACTGATGCAATTCTGACAGGACTTGATAGGGCAAATGCAAGTCGGATATTCCCAATAAGCAGGGAGTCCAGACTGAGGGTCACAGGCTGAGGGTACACAGAAGGTCATTTGAAACTGAGTTCAGAAGAAATCTCTTAACCAAGAGAGGAGGAAGATAATATGATAACATCTAATCAGCCATACCAAGTTCCAGTGTATTACCTCAATTGTTCCTGTTGATAAAATATAATGAGGCTCATAACTATGCTTGACTCGTATATTTGATGAGATCAAACGGACAAAATAGAGGCAACAATGTGCAAGCAATATCAGAAAGATGATTTACTCAATTAACAATTGGGGTACCGATTCACCATAAAAATGCATTGAAAACAGAAACAGGAGGAGGTCATTCAGCCCTTCAAGCCTGCTCTGCCATTCAATAAGATTCCTGGCTCATCATCCAAATCGGTCCCATGTTCCCACATTCTCCTCCCAATGGCTGTTGATCTAAAAGGCTCCAAGAACGAAATGTCATTTCTTCTTCAAAACATTCAAAGTTTTGACCACAGCCACACTGTGTGGTACAGAATTGCACAGACACCTCACTCTCTCGATAAAGACATTTCTACTCATCTCAGTCGTCAATGGTCTACATCCTATCAGAGAAATAGAAGGGGAGAGAGAGAGACAGAAAACTGAGAGACAGCTTGAATTTCTGCAGAAAGTGGGAGGGGCGGCGGGAGCGCGAGGGACAGAAGGAGGGAGAGAGAGAGGGAGAGAGAGAGAGGGAGGGAGAGAGAGAGAGAAGGGGAGAAAGAGAAAATGAGGAGGAGATTGCAGTTGTAGCAGCAGTGCAGTTGTAGCAGCAGCGCAGTTTGACCGTCTTCAAACCAGTCAAAGCAGATGAAAGCAATTCATATGTGATAAAAGCTGCAGACGTGAAAAGCTGTGGAAGTAATGTTTAAATGTCAATGTGTATATAAACAGGCCTAGGAAAAAGGGTAACTTCGCAATATCATCAAATGAATGCAGGTTTTTGCCAAAACGAAATATCGTCGTGTTGTGTATACTGGAAAACTAACTTTCAAATGGAGTTTGTGTTACCATTCACATTGGGGTAGAGGATGTGGTGGCTGATGATTTACTATTTGTACTGTTGCTGTTGAGAGCTAAAGTGTAGACTCTCCAGCCCAGTAGTTTCAATTAGAATCGAATCAGCTAAATTCCCTATGAGGAAATGCAAGGTGGGTGTGCATTTTTTGTGATTGGAAGAGTCAGTGGTTATTTTTGAAAATACATAAGATCCTGAAGAGACTGGACAGGATCGATTGGGAAAGGATATTCCCTCTTGTGGGGAAATCCAGTGTGAAGGACAGAGTTTAAAAATAGGCATCCGGCACTCAAGACAAAGACCAGGAAATGTTCTTTTCTCTCCAGTGTTGGACTCTTTAGAATTCCTTCCTCAAAAGGCAGGGGAGGTACTCTCTTTCAAGATTTCCACGACAGTGAAATGCAGATTCTCAATGATGATGATAATGGGATATTGTCAGGGGTGTGCAGGAGTGTGGAGTTAGATCAGACACCATCTCATTAATCTCTGAAGTGGGCTCAATGTGCAGAGTGGTCTCCTCTTGGTCCTTGATTGTGTATTTGGGAAACTATTTCAAAGAATTATTGTATAAGAGTGGCTTTATTTAAAGTGCAATGTGGATTGATATTCGTTTTTACAAGACCATTGACAGCTTCACGTGAATATGATCACTGAGTTCCATAACAGAAACCAAATTGCTAATTGCAAAATGTGTAGCCTTTCAATTTTTCAGCGGCTTCGGTGGATTTGAATACCATTAAGACATCGGCAGGTTTCTTTCAGAGACAGAGCGAATCATTTCAAGTTGCAGTGTGGTGCTGGTAGAGGTCTGTCAAAACAGTAGTTCAGTTCAACGATCTTCGAAACAGTCAGGACAGAAGTCCTGTCTCTCCAACCCACAACAACCCCACCAACGCCCCTTCCCTCTTTTTGTGCTACTCTTTCATTTTATTGACCGTAAGTTGGTGCATGGTTCCTTATGGCATTACAGCTACAACCAAGCTCAAGCCAGTCATTGAAGAAACTGACACTTTGTAATGCTGTTTGCTACGAAAGACAGGAATAATTCCAGTTAATTAAAGGTGGTTTAGCTTAAATGTGGTTGCCAAACAGCAAATTTTCAGGGACAGCATAAACATTCATTCAGAAAGATGAGAGAGAGATCGACTGAGACAGAAAGAGAAAAAGCTTGTTATATTAATTAATTTATTGATATTCACTTGCTGCCCCCCGGGAAACATTTTGACCAGCCGATAGGTCGAATGGTTAGCTTGAATCCTGTGAAGGTCTGTCAATTTCGGAGTAGGCGCTGTCATAAATGCCTGAGCTGTAAAGTTGTCTGACTCCAAAATCCCTTCATTCAGTGATTAATGACAGTCTTCATGGATCCTAATTGTGTCACTGGAGGGTTCCCTCTGCTCTTAAAAAGGGACTGATTTCAGTGTGTTATTTCATAGCGTGGCCGGGACTGTCAACTGCGGCACGAACACGGATTAGCGACTCCAGAGAGAGAGGGGGAAAGGAGACTTCAGAATCTGAGAACAAGATATTGGAATGTTATCGCAATGGATCAGAATCTGAGAAAAAGACATTGGAATGTTACAACAATGGATCGTGATTTATCCTGGTCTCTTTTTGTTCTTTCTTATGTGTCCGTGTCAGAATATTGGATGCAACATCTGATTTATCTTATCCAGTACTTTTCCTATCCCATCTTGGCGTTTGTTGGAGTCCCCGGTCAGTGTCCCCATCTAGCTGTTGCTTGCAAGTCCTTTCGTTAACAGTAGTATTGCCATGGCCATTCATTTTGTGACCATCCTACTGAGCCTGACTGAGGTGTCAATTCCTCCCTTTCATCCCCCAACTCTGCATTGAAGCCATTACGCAATCAACAGAGAACTTTAGCTCCTCGTCAGTTGGTTAGGTTGCATATAGTTACAGCAACAAATTATGCAAGAATTGAAATATTTTCCAGCTCTCCTTTCAACTGTGGATGTTTCTTCTTAAGCATTTTCCCTTTTCCATGAACTTTTTTTTTCTTTCAACAATAGCTAACATCAACGCCCATCCACCAGACCCACACACACACCATCACTTTAACTGTTTCAACATTTTTCTTCAGATTATTAACAAATATTGTGTCTTGATCACTGAAACTACAGTTTAATCATCAATAATGTGTAAATTATTAGAGGTGCTTTCTTACACTCTCCTTTATTTGAGTGATGGCCAAGACCACATTCTCTGCTGCTCCAAGGAAAGCAAGCTCAGTCTATGAAATCTGTCCTCAAATCAAATTTTCTGCTGTTCAGGCATTTACCCGTTGAATTTCGTTTGCACTTTTTTCCAGTGCAATTACATCATCCTGTGATGTGGAAGCCAGATAATTCTCGAGCTGTGCTGTAATCAACGATTGAGATAATTGCATGAAAACTTTTTATTCAGGGGTTGGAAATTAGACATTCCTCAATTGAGAAGAATCTTCCGAGGGATGTCTCCGAAATTAAAACACCAAAAAAAACCACTGAAAGTTGTGAATTATTAATTGGGATGTCAGATGACATTGTGGAAAGACTTCCCAGAGTTTTTGAAACATGATAACACTCAGCATTTCCCAGATTTATTTGCTAAGTAAACAATCTGGAGCGGGCTCC